TTGACAGTGCTACCCAAAATAAATTAGGTATTTTATTTCTTTCTTCTTTTCCTGATGATGCTGTGCTGCGGCTTTATATACGTGGAAATTTTTTCTATTTTCCCCTTTCCTCGAAAAAAAAAAACAAATTAGATCTCAATTTTGTTTCTTCATCCGAGCACCCACAATACTTTGGGTCTCTTAGAAAAAAAATTATATGCCATGTAAGAAATAGACCTAGTCTATAAAAAAGTGTTTTCTAATGCAATTAAAAGTGGACCTAGTCTAACTTATGTGACAATAAAAAATGAGACCTAGTCCACACTTGGGTCTATTTTAGATCCAAGTACAAACCCAAACACTCATCATTTATTTGTCATTTATTTTTCTTTTAATAAATGAAATATATTAGAGCATTTTTATTGGTTGTCATGTATTCTAGACCTAGTACTTTTTTGTTTTGCATTAGAGCATCCACAATGCTTTGAGTTCAATCACAATAAGATGTATGCCACATAAAAAATAGACCTAGTCTAAAAAACTTTATTCTCCAATGCAAACAAAAATGGACTGGGTCCTGCTGATATGACAGCCAGAAAAAGAGACCCGGTCTACACTTAAGTCTATTTTATACCCAAGTAGAGACCTAGTCTTCTTGCATTGGAGTGAATTTTATCAATTTTAAAATTTTTTATCTATGTCATCAAATACTTGGGTTTATTTACATACCACATAGGCAAGACTAGACTCAATGCATTGTAGATGCTCTTAGATAGAATTTGGATTTTTTTAATTTGAATTTGTTCATATCATTATGGACTTAAGTCTATTTATTTATCACATATACAAACGAGACCTAAAGCATGAATGCTCTAATGCTTCAAGTGTAAAGCACACAAATAAATACTCGAGAGGCGGGGAAGCGCCTGTCTTTTCACAATAAGTCTTATTTATTTTACCCTGTGCTGGACACGTAGGAAACAACCCACGCGTGAATGATGCATTTGGGCCAATAAAAGCCAGCCACGTATGCGATCCCCACAGTCAGGTACCAATTACCATCACCGCCAGGTGACGGAATCATATGGAAAGAAAGATAAATACCAGGAAATACAAGGACCAAATTGAAAGAAGAGGTGGTAGTATTTGAATCACTCGTCTCACTCTCTTTCTTTCTCCTCTCTCCTCCAAAACCCCTTTTCGCTCTTTGGTGGCGGCCTTTTTCCTCCCTCTCTCTCTCCCTCCTAGGGTTTCTTTCTCTCTCTGTCCAAGCAAAAATCCTCCTTCCGCCGTCATGGCCGCCGTTGCACCTCCGGCAGATCGTATCCTTTTTCATGGCGTGTGCTTTGTAGCTTTTATCGTTTTATTGGCTTTCTTTTGTAGCTGGCTCTGTGTTCAATCTTTATTTTAAATCTTTTAGTTCTGAGTGCATACAAATCGATGTTATTTGAACTTATATCTTGGTTTGATTCTTGTGCTGTGGTAGATCTGAGTTTGTTGAATTTGATGATGTTGCATCGAGTGTTATTCAGATTTGTCTGAGGTTCCGTCCTTGTTTGTTTTCTTTTTTATGTAGGAATTTGTTTTGGCTTGGAGATGATTCTGTAGCGTGGTTTAATAATTGTTTGCCGAAGTGCTGAAATATTTTGATTTTTTTTTTTTAAATTGTTCATTTTGTGATGTATGGTGGGTTATTCTTGGTGGGATGGAGTTGGCTGTGTTAATTCTTATGAAAGAAGTTTCAACTAGTTCCCACGGTCTGTTTTTATTATTAAATTGAATCAGTATGAGTTCTCGTGAGGGAACGTTTAGATTCGTATGGTTTTCGAACCAACTGAAGTTCAGATTACTTACCCTTTATTCATGACATGCGTGTTTTGGATATTGGACTCTATTGGGGGTAAAATGTCTTCCTTTACTTGGTTCTACTACAGAAGCTGCAGATTTGTTGCAGAAACTATCTTTGGACTCGCAAGCAAAAAGTTTTGAGGGCCAAGATTCTGCCAAAAAGGTGCTTGCTTGCAGAATTTCATATTTATAGGAACTCTGCTACTTTTATGTTGTTTGTAATCATGAGCTATGTTCTTAAACATGAATTTCTAATGTTGTGTGCAGCCGTCAGCTGATTCCAGTAACATGGCTAATGGAATTCCGTCGGATCGATCTGTTACACCTTTGTTGCCGGATTTAATGGATCCGGCTGTTTGCTATGTTCCAAATGGTGCTTATCCTGCATATTATTACGGCGGTATGTGTGTTACCTATGAATCTGAAGAGCTTTTGTTTGCAGATCTTATCCAGCATGTTAGTCTGGGTCGTTCATTGGATTTCTGTTCATGAATTTATGCTATGTTCTATGTGATTCATCTGTCTTAATTTTTATTCAGGATTGGATGGTAATGACTGGGAGAGTTACACAAGATACATGAATCCGGAGGGAGTGGAGATGACTCCAGTAAGTAATCTTGAGTTTTGAGTGCCATCTTCTTTCTTAACTTGTGTGATTGATTAGAAAATTTAACTATTTTTTCTTCCCATGAAATATCACAGGGAGCGTATGGGGACAATGGATCCCTAATATATCACCATGGCTATGGCTATACCTCTTATGCACCGTATTCACCTGCTACGTCCCCCGTACCAACACTGGGACATGATGGACAGTTGTATGGAGCTCAGCACTATCAATATGCAGCTCCTTATTTCCATTCGTTGACACCAAATGGTCAGTACCCTACGCCAGCTGCCCCAGCCAAAGGTGAGATTGCCACCTCTGCAAAGGCAGACCAAGCGCCATTGTCCGTGGATTCTTCTAATACAAAATCCAGTGGTATCGCCAATGGTGGGGTTGGCAAGGGGAATAATGGTACAGCGACAACAAGATCAACTTATCAAAATTCATCAGTTAATGCTAATAGTACCTACGGAAAAGGTTCTTTGCCAGGAGGAATTCCTGTGTCTGGTTATCAGGATCCAAGATTTGGATTTGATAGTTTCCAGACACCAATTCCATGGTTAGAGAATCAGTATTTCTCAGGGCAGCAAAGGCCTGTTACCAGCTCGTCAATGACTTCGACTGGAAGTAGTGTTCCTCCGTCCAGGGATCAGAATTTCCGGCCTCACGTGATGGTATATCTTCATAGTATTGTTATCTTTTGGTGTTTTTGTAATAAGATGTGCATGATGTTCTTATCTAATAAGATTTGTCTAACCCTCAAAATTTTCAGAGAACACTCTTGACGTTAAACTTTTTTCACCAACTTATGATCAATGGTTACATTTTATGCGAAAGTGAAAGTCATTGTTCGTTGTATAATACTTTCCGAGGGAAATCAACATGATGTAATTGTCAATGACATTTTACGTGAAATTGATATCCATACAAAGTTGCATACTCTTTTTTATTTTATTTTAATTGGGCATTGTCTTCTAGTGAATATGTGCGGCAGATCTGGGTGAAGTACTTTCATTTGTTGAGTATACAGTTGATGTGTGATATCTTACTGGCTTTACAATGTTTTTCATTCTCAGGGTTTGCATAACCCAAGGCCAATCAACTCTGCTGGTGGATATATGAATAGAATGTATCCCAATAAGTTATATGGCCAGTATGGAAATTCTTACGGGTCAGGTCTGGGCTATGGGTCTAATGGTTATGACTCTCGAATCAATGGACGTGGTTGGATGACTGTTGATAGCAAGTACAAGACGAAAGGAAGAGGAAATAGCTTTTACAGTTATGGATATGACAGTGTGGATGGCCTCAATGAATTGAACAGAGGACCAAGAGCCAAAGGTAGCTCTAAGAATCCTAAGGCCTTCTCACCGGTGGCTTTGGCTGTCAAAGGGCAAAATATACCATTAACTGGGGTTGCCGATAATGAAAATAAATCAAGCATCACTCTGGATCGGGAACAATACAACAAACCTGATTTTCCTGACACCTATTTGGATGCCAAGTTCTTTGTTATCAAATCGTACAGCGAGGATGATGTCCACAAGAGCATTAAGTACAATATCTGGGCCAGCACTCCAAATGGTAACAAAAAACTGGATGCAGCTTACAATGAGGCTCAACAGAAGTCTGGAGGCTGCCCCGTTTTTCTTTTCTTCTCTGTAAGCATTATGTACTTTGATGGTGGTTGCTTATTAGGGTTTGTTAACTTTATATGTACTGACCTACTTTTCTGTCTTGGTGGTTAGGTCAATACGAGTGGCCAATTTGTTGGAGTTGCTGAAATGGTTGGTCCTGTTGATTTCAACAAGAATGTTGAGTACTGGCAGCAGGACAAGTGGGTTGGCTGTTTTCCTGTTAAGTGGCATATAGTGAAGGATGTACCGAACAGCTTGTTGAAACACATAACCCTTGAGAACAATGAGAACAAGCCTGTAACTAATAGCAGGGACACCCAGGAGGTATGTATGTTCATGCGCTGTGGTTTATTGTAATGTTGAACAGAAGAAACTATATATTCAGTAAAATGCCTTTTTTTAATATAAAAATTGCACAGCAATAATGGCAGTGAAATATGATAAATTCCTATCTGCAGGTGAAACTTGAGCAGGGGCTTCAAGTGCTGAAGATATTTAAGGATCATACAAGCAGACAATGCATCCTGGACGATTTTGATTTCTACGAGGATCGTCAGAAAAAAATTCAAGAGAAAAAAGCCAAGCAACAGCTGTTCCAGAAACAGGTAAATAGGTGTTTTGAGACTTAGCTGTACGTGCTGCAGTGCCTATGTTAATGATTATTATGTAACCTTCAATAACTGATATTATGTATAGGCTAAAATGTGGGAAGGCAAACCCACTGAGGAGAAGGCGAAAGAATGCAAGGAAAATGCAAATGGCGATTCTAAAACCAACAAGTCGCTGGAAGTGGAATCTGTCGAAACTGTTGCTAGTAATGGGGACATCAAGACTCCAGAAGACAACTCGATTACAAAAGCTGTAGATGCTGTTTTGGAGAAGAAACCAAGTTCGAATGGGGTTCCGAGTTGTTGATAGCTTTGCCATTGAGAAGGGTGGGGGCCCATGGAAACATAATTGGTGAAGATTGGGATGACCTTTGGTGTTGGATTAGAGCTATTAAGGATTGGGCTGCCCCTTCAGTTTGATGCTTTGATTCCCAAGGGCAAGGGCAGGAAGTGTTGTCATGCAGGGTGCCCCATTTCTCCTCATAAATTAATCTGTCAAGTGTCCATTGGGTCTTTATGTAACTTTGGGTGTGGGGGATTTTTAGGGTTGTTTTTCTTTTTATCCTTTCCTTAATTTTGTCGCGTTTTAGTTTCTTTTCTTCTTTTTCAAACACAGTTCTTTGAAGAGATGATTATGGACTCTTGCAGTTGCAGCTTCATATGTTTGGATATGTTTTCAGTAGCTTTTCTGTGTTTGTTAGGTTAAAAAGCAGATGGTTATGTACTGTTGTTTTCTTTGGGAGTGGATTTTGTCTTTACTGTTCATTTTATTATTATTTTTTATTTTCAAGTAAGAAAAAAGAAATTAAAAAGATCTGTTTGTTGTTTTATCATTGGTTTTGTGATGCAGCGAAAGCGTGAACGAATGAGAAAAAATATAATACGAGATGCTCTCTCGAACTTGGGAACTTGGGATACTCTCCCGAAATTAAACGATTAATTTTTTATTCTCAAATTCAACTCCAATAACAAATCATAGTTGCCCTTTAAATAAACTTGTAACCCTAAACTCAGCTTATTCCCGATTGAACAGGATTTGCCCTCGAATCCGACCCGTGCCCGTTGGAGAAGTGTGTCCCACTTCGTCCTCGATCAAACACGAAGCTTGAATAATGCCCAACCACATCGAAGGTAAACACAAGCATGGGCAAGAAATGAGCTAATGCAAAGGCACACGTACGTGCCTCCATACGCATATTCCACAGAGTAGAATGAACATCAAACATACCACAACGGTCGCCGCGCTCAAATTCATAATAATGGCCCACCATCCCGTTGATGGGAGATTTCACGATACACAACTGGAAAACAGACCACAAGGGATTCATCCTCGGCCCCCAAAAACCATCTTTGGCTAAGATGTCCCGAAAATTGGGTCCAAATGATGGTTTTTCGGGAGAAGGGTCAACCGTGGCGATGTCCCACGTGGAGCTCAAAGTGTCGCCCCTATGTGTCTCCGGCACTGGAGGCTCGTCATAAAAAACGGGCAGACCATCGTAAATTAGCCCGTCAACGTGATCCTCGTAAATGTCAAGAATGTCAGCACGTGATGACCAAATTCGCGGCCAAAATCCCTCTGAACAAGCCCATTCTTTGTACCCACTTCACAGGCCCAAAAATATGGAAAAATGCTATCCGACCCATGGGACAAATAAATTGAATTGGGCCGTGCCTTCGCAGGCCCAAAAGAATGAAAGAAATCTGGTTCTCTGCTGCGTCTTTGCGCATCCCCCAAATCGTCCCATCGCTGCATCTTTTCCACGCCTCTGTGAAAACCGAAAAATTGAGCACCCCTATGCCCAACCTCATTACTGCTGACTCGCCGCACATCGGCCCTGCGTGGAGGTCTGTCGAAAACATCACTCCACCGTAAGTCTTGGTCCTGATTTTGGTCCCTCGATATTTCATCATAAACATCACCGGTCAACGGTGGCGGTGGTGATCGTCGGCGGGGCGCCCCGCCGTAATCTCGACCCCCACGACCTTCGCCTATCCGTCCGCGATGGCCCCGGTCAGCCCCTTCGCGTCTCGCACGAGTCTCTTCCATCATGGTGTTCATGGCCATGCGAATCTCCTCAATCCCCGACGAGAGGTCCGTGAATCGGTCGTCCACTCCTTGGAATCGCTCTTCCATACATTGGAAACGATCGTCGACGGTGTTGTCTCTCTTAGGTGGCATCGTAAATCGTCGCTGGTCTCTGGATACCAACTGATGTAGCGAAAAACGTTCAACTCTATGGCTGTTGGCATTGTATTATGTTACTAGTCGGACCCTGAACTAGTCATTCGGAATAGATAATCTTTTGTTTTATTCTGTTAAAGTTTAAAACTTAATTAGTTTCTCTTGACATTAGCTTTCATATTTCGAAGACGACAACTGGATCTGACTTGTGGCTCTTCTCCACCACCACGAGCAAGGTGGTCGTCGACCAGGGAAATTATTTTTTGGCATTTTTTTTTGGCTACGGTGCCAATTACGTTCTTTCCGGCGAGAGAAGATTAATTGTAGAGATAAAATAAAGTGATGAAATTGTTGATTAGAGAGGAGAATTGATAACTGCATTCGAGAAAAGTGTTGAGTGGTTTGGTGACGATCCCATTAAATTCGCACGTTGCTAATATAACTCAACTTGCATCTTAAATATTACTAATAATCAGTTTTGAGTTTAAATCGTTTATATGCAAATATAATGTAACTTTATGTTACTTTTGCTAATAAAATTAAGGGTAAATTGCACTTTTGGTATCCAAACTAAAGTTCATTTCGGAATCAGTACCCACTTTTTGATAGTTGCAAAATGAATACCCAAACTTTTATTCCGTTTGCGACGTTAGTACCCGGCGTTAGTTGTCCGTCAAAAGGCCGTTAGTCGTCACGGTTAGCTGTTAAAATGGAGGGAAATGTGTTTTTTTTTGCGCGCCTGTTGTACTCTATATATTTATGGCTTAATGTAGCCATATTTTTCCATCAAAAATCGCAGTTTTGAACAGAAATTGGGAAAAATCCGAAAAAAAATAAAAAAATGAGAAGTAATTTTAGCAGTTCTTCTTGGAATAATAACTTTCCTGGCAAAAAATGTTGGTGTCTTTTTGGTGAAGAGCTCCCATCTAAGACATCATGAACAAAAACCAATCCCGGAAGAAGATATTGGGCATGTCCAAAATACGGGGTATTATTTTTGATTTTTCTTTTTTATCATATTCATAAAAAAATTTATGATTGTATTATTCTCTCTTGCAGACAATTGAATATTGTGGATTTTACAAGTGGTTGGATCCAGAAATGTGTGCTCGTTCCAAACAAATAATACCCGGACTGCTTTCAAAAATCAACAAGCTTGAGGATGAGGTCAATGACTTCATGATAAGAGAAGGAAAATTGGAAGCTGATTCGAGGAAAGCCAATAGCAAGAATAAGAGTTTGGAAAAACAACTAGCTGCATTGAAAAAAAAAAAAAAAATCCATTGTAAAAGTAGGAGTCTTTTTTCTACTTGTAGTAATTGTGTTCTATGTACTAAGTAGCAAAAATTAGCAATTAACAAATGCAACTTATGTAATCAGCATTTTCCAAGTCAATGAAAGCAGCATTTTCATTTTCATTTTCCAACATATGTATCCTCTGTCTGAACTCAATCAAAGAAAATGAACTCAATCAACATTATCTTGACAATCTATTATAAATAGAAATCCACAGTCAATCACCACAAAAACACATTCCACAGCCTTGTTCAAACCACAATCCATCATAAAAAATCCATCATCATAAATAGAAGTCCACAGTCAAGCCAGAATCATCAAAGATATCATTATCCCATCACAACACAATTAAAACAAAATAAATCCAAATAGTCAAACAAAATAATTTCAGAATAAGCCAACACAAATCCAGAGTTACTTGTTTGCAGCATTATCCTTACCAGGAGTTGCCCCATTCCTTGGCCTCAAAGCAGCTCTGATGTTGGAGACTGTTATGTAATTCACACCTCCTTTCACCACAACAGGACAAGTGACTCCCTCAGATTGAGTGACCTGCATTTGTACAAGTGATTAAGGAATTATTTTGCACAAAGAACTCAAAATCCAATCCAACTAAAATAAAATTTTCACTTCTATAGCACAATAACTCACATTGACAGTCTGTCCTTGATCCTCATTGCCATTTCCATCCAATTGACTGCTTTCTCTTCCTTGTTGTTCTTGTCTTTTCCTGAAACTATAAAAATAGACAAAATAAATTTGACAAATTTAAATCAAAACACAGAGTAAAAAACATAGTAAATGAGGATGATGTACAATTAAAAAAGAAGATAAAAATGGTAAATTACCCTATTTCTGCTAGCTTCAGCATCATTGTTGTTGTTTGCAGGTGTTGGTGCAAGTGACTGACTTGAGAAAACATTGTCAGTAGCATTGTGGCCATGTCAAGAGGCTGAGATTCACTCACTGGGGTCTCCTCTTGTTCTTCATTTTGGTCAGCCTTCTTATGCTTTCTAGCATTGTGGCCATGTTCTCCACAAACTCTGCATGTCACACTCCTCTGGTGCTTTTTCAATCTCAGGGGATTATGAGGCAATGCACTTGGTGGCTCAGTTGGATTTCTTATCCTTGCCTTCTTAGGTCTTCCAGGTCTCTTCACAATTGCAGGAGGGATAGGTGGGGGAAGCTCAACATTAGGCCACAAATCAGGACCATTTATCCCTAATATTGGCAGTTCATATGCCTTTCTATATGTTTTAACAGTGTACAAATGATCAACATACCACCCTGTTTCTTCTTTTCTACACCAAATGGCAGAAATAGCATGCTTACATGGGAGCTCAGTCAATTCTCACTTTCTACAAGAACAAGATCTTCCAAGAACATCAATAGTGTGCTGTTCAAAAGGCCCCATGATTTGAAAATTCCACTCATCAGACCTCATAGGAATGAGTTCTCCTGCCTTCTTCATGTTCCCATCCAAATCATTTTTATCCTAGGACAGATACCACCATCCCATTTCTTTGCTTGCTCCATGTTGGTATGCATCCTTGCCATCATGATGTTTCTCACTGTATCAAGCAGCCCAATGATGTTTTTTTCTCTAGCAGACAGAATAAGTGAATTAAGCTCTCACACATGTTATTGGTCAAGATATCACATTTAGGTGTTAAACTAAAGTGAGATCTTGACCACTGATTTGGAGGCTTCTTCACTAGCCACTCATAAGCCTTAGGATCAACAGACTTTAATTTATCCATTCTTGCTTTGAACTCTTCCACCCTAGTACATCTTGCAGCAGCTCACAGTTCCTTCTTTATTGCCAAACC